TTTTGCTTGCAGTCATCTGCTCTTGATGTCGAGGGCAGGTAGCCAGTCCCTCACTCGGAGGGCGAGAAACTCGAGCGCTTGGCCTCCAGCATCTTTCCCGGATCAAGCTCGAGTATGCAGTCAGTGTGTGCGGCACAAGAGCTGCGTCAAGCACCCTTAGCTTTTTCTTTCCGCCGGCATCATCAATCTCGCGCCGTTCAGCACGCCCGAGAGTTTGTGATCTCCTTCCCCCACGACTACCACAGGTCTCTGTTCTCTTGGAGGAGCAGGAGCAGGAGGAGCAGGAGGAGCAGGAGGAGCAGGAGGAGCAGGAGGAGGAGGAGGACGAGAAGCAGGAGATAGAAACAAGAGATAGGAGGAGGATCGAATAGCAAAGGGAATGATCAGCTGACCAAGCCCACGCTGCCTGCTGTCTCTTCTACTCCCTTCTCTCACGTTGCTTGCTTCGTCTGATCACATCTCACTTAATGTAGGCGTATGTTCTCGTTCGTTGCGTGCGGGGGCACCGAAGGAGCTTGTCTGGGGACAAGCTCATGGCGAGAGGAGAGGACGGAGCTTTCGTTGCGTGGCTACAGGAAGCTCTTGGTACATGCTGCCGGCTCAAGCCTCAGAAGAGTGAGAGGAGGAACATGCATCCGCTGTTCGGCAGAAAGAATACGAGGAGGGGAAGCAAAGCGAAGCGACTGGCGGGTACGTCGGTCTGAGTTCTACTTGAGGTCATTCTTACCGTGTTGACAGCGATGGCTGTTACTCGCTCTTCTTTTTAGCGTCTACATTCATAACCAGTCGGAAACCCTCCTCCTACTCCTGCTTCTACTCCTACTCCTGCTTCTACTCCTGCTTCTGCTCCTGCTTCTACCCCTGCTCCTGCTCCTGCTCCTCCTCCTGCTCTTTCTCTTCCCGAAAACTTTTTTCGTCCCCATTCTGCATTTCCCTCCAGGAGCTGACTTGGCTCGACAGGTGGACTCGCAACTCGCTTCAGTATGCTGTGAATTTTGCTGTGCAGCCCTCGGCAGAAGCGACGAGGTGAAGGAGAGAATGGCTCTCATCATTGTGCTTTGATTCAATTAATTCATGTTTGTGCTCACTCGTCTTCATTTTCCTTCGTCTTCCCTTGTTCCTATTTGTCAGCATTTTCTTCACCTCGCTCCATCCTGTCTTTTGTTTCCGTGAATTCCTACTCTTCTCCCTCCTCTCGTCCTGGCTCTGACTGTCTTCACAGGGAGTTCATCAACGTTGCTTTGGGTGAAACTAGCTCCTCCCTTCTCCTCCTCATACCTCGAGCAGGTTTCTCTCCGCAGCAGTATGCTTTCTTGGCCTCATACGGATTTACTCTTCTCTATACGGTAACTTCTCACATTCTCCTGGTTCCTTCTTCTCTTTCTCATCCACTTCACATCCTTCGTTTCCTGCTTGACTGTTTCCTGCTCCTGCTCCTGCTCCTGCTCCTGCTCCTGCTCCTGCTCCTGCTCCTGCTTCTGCTCCTGCTCCTCATCCTCATCATTTGTCAGTTTGCTTCATTGATTGCCGGGAGGGTTGCCGACACCGTTGATCGGGGCAAAACGCTCTCTGTCTCCATCTTCCTCTGGTCCTTCGCTCTCCTCGTGCAGGTATGTCATCGCCCCTGCCTTGTACTCGTCTTCTCTTCATTTCTTCTTGTCTTGCCTTGTCTTGTTGTCTTGTCTTCATTTCTTCTTGTCTTGTTGTCTAGTCTTCGTTCCTTTCTTGTCTTGTCGTCTTGTCTTGTCTTCTTGTCTTCGTTTCTTCTTGTCTTCTCTTTTCTCATTTGGTTTTGCAGGCACAGTGGAGTCAAGGCTTTCTTTCTGTCTTAGCCTGCAGGTTCTTCTGCTCCATTTCCAGCTGCTCGCCCCCCTCCCTTTGCCCCTCCTTTCGCCTCCCCATTATTGTTCAGCAACTGCATTAGCAGCACTTGCTCCTGCTCCTGCTCCTGCTTCTCTCTCGCTTCCTCTTCTCGAATCTCTCTCGTCTTGCTTTGTTCGTCGCTCCGAGCTCATCCTCTCCCAAGGCTCCTGCAAGGTCTCGCCATGGCCTTCACCGGCCCTCAGGTCCTCTCATGCTCGTCCGCGTCCTCCGCTGCATGTTCGCTGCTCCATCGCATGCTCTGCTACCTCGCCTCCCTCCTCTTCTTGGTTGCTCCTGTCGTCGGTCTCTGACGTCTCGTTGCTTCCAGTGCCTCTCCCTCCTCACGGATAGATTTCCTCCCTCTTCTCTCTCCACCGCGATTTCCATCTACACTTCTGGCGTTTATGTGGGAGCCGGTGATTTCCCTTCCTCTCCTCTTCTTGGGGTTTGATTCTATTCCATTCCATTCATACACACTCTCTTCTTCCTCCTCCTCTCTCACTTTCGCTTTTCTGATTTTTCTCCTCGTTGTGCCCTCTGTCAGCTCTGGCCTCGTTGTCAATGTTCGTTAACTCTCATCTGGGCTGGAGGAAAGGAAGACTACTTCACCTTCTCCCCTCTCCTCTCCCTCTCCCTCTCCCTCTCCCTCTCCCTCTCCCTCTCCCTCTCCCTCTCCCTCTCCCTCTCCCCTCCCTCTCCCCTCCCTCTCCCCCTCTCCCCCTCTCCCCTTCCTCTCCCCCTCTCCCCTCCCCCTCCCCCTCTCCCCTCTCTCTCTCTCTCCCACTCTCAATGGCATGTCTTCGCAGGCTTTCCTTCACCAGCTTGGCGATTGTTGGTCTGCTTCTCGCACTTCTGACTAGTTTCTCCGTACGGTGAGGATGAAGGGCAAGAGAAAGAGGAGGAGAGCACGAGTGGTCACGAGGAGGAGAGAACGAGTGGTCACGAGGAGGAGAGAACGAGTGGTCACGAGGAGGAGAGAACGAGTGGTCACGTGGCTTGTCAGAGTGGTCACGTGGCTTGTCAGAGAATCTCGCAAACCTCTTGAACCCCTCAGCTCCTCCGAGAGTCTCTCGAGCGCGATGAAATCAGCAGCCACCGTCCTCAACTCCCCAGGAGTGATCATGCTACTATCAGGTCCTCCTCTTCCCCCCCTCCTCCTCCTCGTCCTCCTCCTCGTCCTCCTCCTCGTCCTCCTCCTCCTCCTCCTCCTCCTCCTCCTCCTCCTCCTCCTCCTCCTCCTCCTCCCTGCTCGTTCTCGTTCCTTCTGTTCCTTTATCTTCACCACTGGATGCCTTTAGCTGGTTCTGTCGCCAGTCTTCGCTTGCTCTCGTTGTTCTCTGTCCTCTCTCACTCTCCTCAGCCTCTGCTCTGAGATTCGCCGCGGGCTTCGGCATTGGCGTCTGGTGCGCTCCATTCCTGCGAGCCAAGTTCTCCTCCTATCAGGTGAATGAGAGCGAGGAGGGAGAAGGGGAGGGGAGGGAGAAGAGGAGATGATGTGAAGTCTGCAGGCTGAGTTCGCTGCCATCAATGCCTTGATAATCTCTATCGGTAAGATAAGGAGGGGGAGAGAGAGAGGGAGCGAGGGAGCGAGGGAGCGAGGGAGCGAGGGAGCGAGGGAGGGAGGGGAGGGGAGAGAGGGAGGAAGGGGAGGGAGGAGATTGAGTGCTGAGTGAGGGGAGGGAGAGGCGGCAGGAGAGGAGGGGAGGAATGATCATCACGACAGGAGGGTGTGCTTCCTCGATTGCAGGAGGGCTCATCGCAGACAGGCAGAGCAGCAGGAGAGGAGGAATAGAAGTTGCTAAATCATGTGCAGGGTAGCGAAGAGCGACAAGAGTCGCAGGTTGTTGGTAGGCAAACAATTCGACTCCATCCTCGTGCTGGAAACCATCTCGTTGCCTTCT